CTTTCTCTTTTTGTCTGTCTCTATCTCATCATGAGTTCATACTGAACCTATAATTCCAATCCAATACCATATAGTTCTCTAGTCTTCCTCTTTCTTACTTTTAAATTTCATTTCTCTGAGAGTCAGAAACCTGGATCTCAGCATTTTTTCAGGGCATATTTGTTGTACAGCAGGGATTCATTGTGACAATTTCAAGTACGATTGCATTGTACATGATCTCAGTGTTTTTACTTGTTTATTCAATTCTAGACGACGTTGCAGTTAGTTTCACAGTTAGTGATACCACTTTTTAAAAAGATATATGGCATTTCATGAATTACAGTTGCTTTTTTAGTCTAAGGGCATAGAGTAAAAATAATTTGTCCAAAAGTTATTTGGGTTATTTCTTTTTTTCCTTCAGTGTAGTTAAATTACTTAAATGAAACACAGTTAAGTTCATTTTGTTTGCTTATATTCCATGATTGCTTTTTCCAATTTGTTCATTTAATTACTGTTTTAATTAATAAAAACATTAACACTTGTTCTAACAAAAAAAAGTTTTATTCAGAAATGTCACTTCAGTGAAGCTTCTTAAAAATTTGTTGAGAATGTATTAAATTTATAAATTTACTTGGGGAGACTAGAAGTTGTTTAAATACTGAGTTGTATCTAAGAACAAGGAATGTCTTTTCATTATTCAAATCTACTTTGTGTCTTCAAGATATATTTAAATTTTTTCACATAGATTGTGCATATCTGGCATCGGTGCATTTTTGTGGAGCAGTTCTTTAATAACGTTACTTCTTTGTGGAAATTGGTTTGATTAGGCTTTCTTTAATTCTAATGGAGTGAATTTTGGTACTTTGTATTTTTCTGGAAAACCATAAATATTAAATATATTTTCAAATGTATTTGTCCAAAACGTTCTGTCGTACTCATTCTCAACCAAGAGTCAAGTACAGGTTTTAAATGTTCAGATCGAAAGTCTTTAGTGTTTTTGTGTTGTAACCAATGTTGTCTATAATTTGCTAATTTGTGGAAGCTGTTGATGTTTAGGGGTTTTTTTTTCCTATCTTAGTATATGCTCATTTTTTGTGACTATTGTATGGGTATATGAGAAAATACATGTTTTTATATTTTAAGAGTGTAGCATTTGATAAATATCCATAAACTCTGCATTGATTATTGTGTTAATCAGCTTTCCATTACTCTTAACAAATACCTGAGATAATCAACTTATTTTTAAACAGGTTTATTTTGGCTCACAGTTTTAGAGATTCTAGTCCATGATCCATTGGCTTCCGTTGCTTTTGGACCCATGTTGAAGCAGTCTTCATAGCAGAAGTGTGTGGTGGAGCAAAATTACTTAATCTGTGGAAAGAGAAAGAGAAAAAGAAAAAGAAAGAGATGGGGTCCCATAATCCTCTTTGAGGGCATGCCCCAGTTACCTGAAAACCTCTCATTAGACCCTACCTCTTAAGTTTCTGCCACCTCCCAATAGCACTTTTTGGAGATCAAGGCTTTAGAACATGGGCATTTGGAGTGACATTCCAGATCCAGTTGTATTGTTTAGATAATCATTCGTTCTGTCTCTCTGTCTCTCTCTCGTTTTTTTTGAGACAATATCTCACTGTTGTCAACATCAACTCAGGATCCTCCTGCTTCAATCTCCTCTAAGTGTTGAGATTCCAGGCATATGCCATCATGCCTCTCTGTTTAGATTTTCTTGTCTCTTTAATTGTATTTGTTTGATTTTTTTTAATCTTATATTGAGAGTGGAGTTTTATTGTTACTACTCAGTTTCTATGTTTCATATCTCCTATAGTTTGAAGCTAGCTGTTACTCCATGCCCATACATAAAAAAGTTTGCTGAGCTTAGTACAATAGATTGGTGAGAAGCTTGCAGGAATAATATTTCCTGCATGTTTAAAACCTTTACACTTTATTTCCCCTAAATTTCTGGAAAATACAACTCTGTTGTATTATTTTGTGTGCTCCTTTGGAAGAAGTTTGGTCAGTTAATTCTCTTGGCCCTAGTTACATGATATTTTTGGCTGGAATTACCTGATCATTTTGCCTGGAGACTTCATTTTTACCATCTTTAAAGCCTAATAGTTTTAATTAGAGTATTTATGAGTTTATTATGGCAGGCCCATTGTCTGAGGTGTTTGACCCATTTCAGTATGCAGGATCAAGTTCTGTTTCTGGTGTCTTTCTTAGATTAGTGTTAGTGTTAGTTCTATTCTACTGTTCTAATTTTTCATCTTAAGGGAACACAATATATGTATGCTTCAACTTATCTTTCATTTTGATTAGTTTTTCCTGACTGTTGTCACTCTTTAAACCATTTATTCTCCTGATAGTTTTCTGCTTTTCTTAAGTTTCTGTTATTAACTTTCCAAATGAATCCATTCTTCTTTGGGCATAACTTATTTCTTTGGGTATGACTTATTTTTCCTCCTTTTTTGTTCATTTCTGTTTTTAGTTTTGAAGTTTATTAAGGATGTATGTCTACATCCTCCCATTCTTGTTCGAGGATATTTAATTCAGTGTGTGATGTAGAGTTCTCCTTCATGTTTTTTTTTTGATGGGGGAGGGGCTGGGGAAGTTATCTGAAGTGTTTTGATTCTCATTTTTCTGTTTCTGTTTCTTTGTGTAGTTACTCAGTTGATAAATTGTGCTGTTTCCTTTGCATTTGTTGGCTGATGATTTAGAGCAGTTTGGGAGTCTTAGTTCAAGAGCTCCCTCTTCTGTTAGTGTAGCAGTGTACAGATTCTTTTAAACAAAAAATGGTTTTCAGGGTATTTTACCAACAGCAGGATCCTAAATTATTCTTTTGCTTGTTTTTATCCACTGGTTTCTAAAAGGACCTTCTTCTTTCTTCTTTCCCTCAGCAAAGCACTTTCCTGTAACCAGTGCTCTGATCTACCAAGACTCTTTTTCAAAATTTATGTAACGAGTGGACTTTCTCTTTGATTTTAATTTAATGTTAGGCTTTTTATTTCCTTTATGCTCCATGACAGTTTTTTCCTGTTTATAGTTAATTGACTTTTGTAATATTCTGTCCTAGTACAACTGTCCTTGTTGTACTATAAGTATGGATTTTGTCTACTAGCTTTTGATTTTGTTATTCTTGTTAGTTTATAGGTGATGTACTAGGATATTTGGATTTATTACCATTACCTTAGCTCCTAGCTAAAATTTCACATTCTGAGTCATGTGGTGTCTATTATTCACACCCCCTCTGTTACCCATTAAGAATGTTGGTGAAGCACCACTTCCAAGCACTAACCCTTTCTGCAGTTTGAATATTGGCTTTCTCTTGATCTTATCATAAGAGGTCAATATATAGTTTTCAAAGACAAAATAATATTTCTTTAAATCTTTAAATTACTTATTGACTAAAATGTTGAAGGGCTACAAATTGTTACCATCAAGAATAATAATCAAATTTGTGTGTTTAGGCCATAAGCAACTATTTCAGCTGCCCAATAGCAACTGTAGGGTATTGTTTCTTATAAAATGAACTCCAATTTCTGTCAGGATGTGAAAAAATCATGCTTTATAATTTAAGAAACACAGTAGAGTAAGTATAGCTTGCAACAAGACTAGAGTAGCACTGATACAAGACATTCTTTGAGACTTGCACAGGCTTGTGCCATGGGGTTTTGTGAAAGATTAAACTGTTACATGATACTTTAGGCACTTTAGTAAGGAAATACTGTGGAGAAGATAGAGTTGCCTTTCACGAAGCTTCATAATGCAGTAAGATTCCAAGGGAGTTTGGGTCATAGTCAACTATAGAAACTGCTTAAAGTCCATTAATGTAAGTAAATAGAATTCATTTAAAGTATTTACCCTGAAATATCTACTAAAAGACTTAGGTTTGTAATAAATTTTGAAAACATGTCTATAGCTCTAGGAAAAAATGAGTTAAACAAAATGAATATTAGGGTTTGGAGGGGTGACTAAAGCAGTAGAGCTCCTGAGTTCAAAAACTCATTTATTTATGCATCCAGTACTGGGAAGTGAACCCAGGGCCTTGCACATGCTAGGCAAGTACTCTACCACTTGAGCCATACCCCCAGCCCTAGAATATTTTAAATTTTTATATATTTCCCATTCTCTTACGATTTTTGTCATAACTTACGTTGAATTAATTCATTCTCTTGACCTGATGTCTAAAACACTGCAGCATTTATTTAATAAATATTGAGCATCTCCTCTGCGTTGGGCCCTATACTAAAGGTACAGAGCAAAATTAATGTTCCTACCTTCATGAAATAACAGGAAGTAGGAAAGACACATGCAATAAATAATAAAATGATAATTTTAGCTTATGATAAGTGCTAAGGAGGAAATCAGCAAAATACTGTAACAGAAATGTATAGAAAAGTAGACTATTTTATAGAATGGTCAATTAGAATTTTTTTGCAGGTATAAAATTAAAGCCAAGAAAGATGAAGTGAAGAGAGGCCTATTATCCCTAGGAAAGAATTTTATCAAGCAGGAAAGAGAATAGATTATGTTTCTAAAAGATCTCTGAGTTTTCAATGGATGTATAAAGGAGGCAAGAAAGCAATTACAGAGACTGTGGTTATTAGGTGACCAGGCAAGCAATGACTTGGATTAAGGTTGTGACAGTAGAGATAGAGAGGAATAGGTATGTTGTAGATTGATGAAAAAAATCAGTAGACCTCGCTGAAGGACTGGAAATGGGGAGAGGTAATGGAAAAAAATGACAAAAGTTAACTGAGTAGATGGGGAAAGAGGAGCAAGTGTAGAATGTTCTGAGACACTTCTGAGGAATCTGATGAACCATACAACATGTTGATGAGCTCACATAGGCAAAAGACAGAAAGAAAAGAGGATTCAGCAGAATCCTAACAACTTTTGAGTTTTTAAGGTGAGCAGAAGCTATTTTTGCGGTTTCGGCACCTCTCAGCCTACCGTGCTGTGATGTTACACAATTATAATAGCCATCATCAGTGATGAGATGAAGAGATAAACTGCAATCCGGGATGCAACAATTGCAGATTTCTTCGAGGTACTGGGGTGGGGAGGGGCGGTCAGGGTTTGCTTTTGTACCCTGGATTATCTCATTCTTTAGGGTTGTGAGTTGTCTTCCTGTTCTGGACTTTTTCTTATTGCAAGCCTTCTTTGAATGTGTTTTCAAAGAGGCTCACAGCCTTTTCGGTGAGCTCCTTGGGTGTATTCATATTTAGTAATAAAACTTCAAAGCCAAGTAAGTGTTTCATGTTCTTGAGTGGGGTTATCAACTGATTATGCTTTGCTGTAGGGAAAGCAGAAGCAGATAAGGAAGCCTGATGATAAGTTGGAGGCAGAATCCTAAGTGCCAGAATATGGAGGGCTTTGCTTTAGGGTACCAGCAGCCATTCTTGATGCCTGGTTCTCCAATAACAGCTCATTCTTGCATGGAGTCAGAGAAGTTTCTGTGTGTACAGAAGTTGAGCCTCATACCTCAGATCTTTGGGTAAGAGACATCCTGAGTCTAGTGCTTCTCTAAAGTTGTGATAGGCATATCTTTTGTCACAGCCTCTTCTGTGAGCACCGAAGGCTGTGACTTCTGCAGTCATGCCTTCATTTTCTTTATGGGGAGCCTTTTTTATGTTTTTTTTCTTTATTGTGAACATCTATTTATTCTTACTCATTTTCATGAGATCTCAGGAACAAGAGAAAACAAATTTGTATATGTATTTAATTCATATCTTAAACATGAAACCTCAGCAGTTAAGAAATCTCAATATTAAGATATGTGTTATATTTTAACATGACTTTAGAATTTTTCTTAGTCCAATTTAATGAGCTTTTCATATTTAACAAAAATTTGAGCAGTTCTTGAATGCTAGATTAGGTTCTGCAGAATAGTTTCCTGTTTGATAAGAGCAATAAGACATATGAAAATGCTAGTCATATGTGGTCATTGCTGGTAGGCTTAAAAAGAGTTTCAAATGGTGATAATAGGTCAGATGAGAGAGAAATCATTCCATGTATAAACTATGAAATACTTTATGGAATAAATGTTTTAATTGGTTCTTTTAGAAAGATGAATATAATTTCTATGAGCAGCAATTTGGATTGAAGAAAGGACCTTTCCAGTAGAAAATGGCCTGAATGATGATTGAGGAATGCAAGCACAGAGGTTGTTTAAGGAAAACCAGCGAGTCAGTTGGACTAGAGCATATATGTAACCAAATCATGATGGTGGGTCTAAAGGCAGGATTATTGTTAGGCAGAGGAAGGAATCCTAACCCTGAAATAAGAGAAAAGGAGACCATTAGGGCCTTTTGAGATAAAGAGGGTAAAAGGCCTTTCTGCTGTTCATCATTTCTGTGAGTGAGATAGCATTGGAAACTTTGAGAATAAGCTGTAAATTTACTCCAGAAGATGTTAAATGCCTTGTGCTTTGAGGTAATATTAGAACTTTGGACAGGCTCACACCTGTCTACCTACCTACCCAGGAGGCTGAGATTGGGAGGATCGCAGATCAAATCCAGCCTGGGCAAATAAGCTCATGAGACCACCCCATCTCAACAGAAAAAGCAGAGCATGCTGGCACATGCATGTCATCCCAGCAACAGTGGGAAATGTAAATAGGAGGATCATTGTCCAGGCTGGCCCATGCAAAAAGTGAGGACCTATCTCCAAAACTACCAAAACAGAAAGGGCTGGAGGTGTGGCTCAAGCAGTAGAGTGTCTCCCTAGCCAGTGCCAAGTCCTGAGTTCAAATTCCAGTATCACCAAAAAAGAAAGAGAAACACACCTGAAATATGTTGCAGTTGTAGCTAGGTTTGAGGCTGCAAAAAGAATATTATTATCATAGCAAAATATACAAGGGCAGATCTGATTCTCAACAGATTTACAGAATGAACTTTGTTTTATTAGAAAAAACCACTCATACTTTTTTAGGGGCATTGGTGTGATTTGGAGGAAGATTAAGAAGTGAGAATAAAAACAGATCAGGACAATTCCATTTTTAATAGTATAACTGTAAATGTGGAGCATTTTTCCCTGGGATCAGATTAGGGTTTTTTTCTTTTTTTCTTTTTTTCTTTTTTTTTTTTTTTGGTGTTGTTTTAATCCTTGAGCACATTGTTAGTCTTTCAGTTACTTTCATTTTAAATCTGATCTCCAGTGGAAAATGTGTATATGAGGGTAGACACTCTTGGGGCTTAAGTTCTAAACAAGGAGCAAAACTAACTAGAAACTGAAAATTACTTGTAAGAACTTAGATTTAGTTTTTAACTTAAGGCTTCATTTTAGAGTTTTATGAATTCACATTTATTTGATCACTTTTCTTGAGAAATGCAGTGGGAAATTTTAATCTTATTTTAGATGGTGTTCCATTCAGTTAAATAACTGCTATTCAGTGCAAATAACATTTTACATTACTGCATAGCATTTTTGCAATTTGAAATGAATGTCTTTCTAAGTTTAGGAAAGCTTTGTATTATTCAAGTAATTCTGATGTGAGTCTTAATAGACCATATATTCAGTAGAAAGACACAGTTTGTAGTAGCTCTCATCAGGAAAATATGTTGTATCAGTGTATGTAACATGGTTGAATCATACAACTTATTTAGTCATTTCCTCTCCAACATCACCTCCTGAGGTCTCCACTTATACATTGCCTTCTCAGTGGTTCCTTTTCTGGCCACTTTAAAAATCATACCTTTTCCTCACAGTTCATATCATCTTTTTCTTCTTTATTTTTTTTCTCCTTATCTAACTGTGCTTACATATCTTTTGTGGTCTGTGGTTTCCTTCTGGAAGGTAAGTTTTAAGGGACTGTTTCATTCAATACTGTATCCCTATTGCCTATAACAGTGCCTGGCAAATAGTGTACATGTGTAAATGTCTGTTGAATGAGTGCCTCTGAAACACTCATTTTTATTTCAAGGTAAATTTTCACCAATATGGATAGGTATAGTTTACACAGTGTCATGAATTTGCACCAGAAGAGGTATCATAAAACTGTTTTTAAAAAATCTTTTTGTAATCTTTGAGTAATAGTACAGTTTTTATTAAATGATCTCAGCTAGGTAAGTTAGAAATCTAGTGTATAAAACCCCTAAGCACTGCTTCAGTTGGGATAGTAAAGTTTTTTTTGTACAGGTGCAAGTGGCATGAAGAAAATGACATTCTCTTCTGTGCGTTAGCTGTTTGCAAGAAAATTGCGTAAGTTGGGAAAAGAAATTTCTTCCTACTGCTATACTCTGTGTTGACTTCTTCTGTGCCTATTTTGCTTGCTTTCGTTTTGACAACTAGTGTAAATCTGTTCATCTTTTCTATAATTCTGTTATAAAACAGGTTTTTTTTAAATTTGATGTTAATTTTATTTATCTGTCCATACCACTTCTCACTTGAATGATTTGGGTAAATCTTCAGCAGCACTTTCTGAAATTTTTTCCTCCTGGAATCCTGTAGAAGAGTAGAATTCCCTACTATCATTAAGGACCTCACTCCTGTGAAAGTGCTTCAAAAAACACATTTTCTCGTAATAAAAACACCTAAAGACCCAGCTCTCTGGGTGATGTGGTAATCCCTTCAACATGGCAGGTGATTGTTTTCACATGGCAGGTGATTATTGACTCTGGTGATTAACTGCTTATTACTTTAGTTATGTTTCTGCATCTGCCCTCTCCTTGCCTTAAACATCTAAGAATCCTAGTCATCTTTATCCTCCTTCCTATTCCTTTGTAACCTAATATTTTATTTGATAATCAGAAGATTGGTTACCAGTAACAACCTGTTTTATGACATGAGTTCTTGCCTATTCCCATCTCTTCTCTGAATCTCTAAATTTCTTTTTTTCCAATACAGAACAGTATTTCTGGTGCTTTCTATATTAAAAATTTCAAAACATGAATGATTTTAGAGTGAATTAGATGAGATTCTTCTTGTTTTCTTTTTAAAGGTATTGCATCAGTAATTCTCTGGCCACTCTCTTTGGAATCCAGCTCACAGGAGCTCATGTACCACTACAAGATTATGAGGCCAGCAACAGTGTGACACCCAAAATGGTTGTATTGGATGCAGGGCGTTACCAGGTAAGAATCCTCAATAGGCTTTTTATCTTCTTGTTTCTAACTAAACCTTGACTCCCTAAGGGTACTGCTTCTCCATTAGTGCTTTCAAGTAATGACATTTTTTTTTCTTTATTTGTTGTGGGCCTAAATTTGAAGTAGTTGTCCTTGATTTTAGCTTTCAGACTTCACATACCTCGTAAGATTCCTAGGCTTTGAGTCACATGCCATCTAGAATGCCGTCCCTGAAGCCCTGTTTGAGAAGCAGTAAACACCTAAATCGATCCTCCTCATACTTTGAGCAACACTGTCCTAGGAGAGCAAATAGTTTTCCTATCAACATTAACTCTCTTTTACTCTCCTAGACAGTTATTTCTCATCCATTCTTTACCTTCCAGTTCCATCACCTCTTCCCTCACCCTTGCTCTAGCTGATGCTGATGCCTCCCACTTCTTGGGGGAAATAGAAGTAACCAGGGGGAAGATTTTCTACATATTCCTAGCACCTCACCCACCAGCATCTGTGATAACCTCTTTTTACTCCTATTTTAATGAATGAATTATTTGTGTTCCTATCTAAAATTAATCTGTATGTTAGATCTACTCCTACTAGTCAAGGACATGGCTGCAGTTATTTTACCGTCTTTCTTGGATCATCAGGTTTTCCCTCTGTTCTGAATATTCCTTACCTGCAAAAAAACACGCTATAATCTCATCTTAAAAAACAAAAGTGCGAAACTCTCTCTTGACCCCGTACTTCCTAGTTTCCCTCCAAAGTCTATTCTGTTTACTCCCCTTTGCAACAAAAGTAGATCAGACATTGGAAGAATATTTTTAGGTGTTAGTTTGCATTTTTAAAGAGTAATTTGAAATCAAAGTAGACCACTCAATAGTTAATAAAAAACAAACATTTTTCCTGGTATTTTCCTATTTACAGAAGCTGAGGGTTGAGAGTCCAGGATTCTCTCATTTCAACTCTTTTAATCAGGAACAAAGATCAAACACATCCACTGGTGAGCATATTAGATTTTATAAGAGTGTACTTTAAAGATGTTAAGGCCTTAAAGCTTATGAAGTTCCCAGGGTGTTGTACTTAAACAGATTAGCTTTAGGGTATTAGGAGCTTGGTAAACTGGGCATTTTATTTGACACTCCTTAAACCGAGTGTGTACATTTTTGTGTAATTTTGATGCAGTATAACGTACTCATCAGACTTTTTGTTTAGTACAGTTAAAAGAAAACTTGTTTTTCTTATGGCAGCTATAGTTTATTATAGTTTTCATGTGTTTGGGGAGATGAGACACTTCAAAAGCTAGTGATATTTGTTACCTGAAGAACTTCAGCTACTTCCACCCTATAAATAAAAAGAAATAATTTTATTCAGTCTTTTTCTTTTAGGAATCTCTCTCCATAGTAGGACAAGAATCAGTTAATTGAGGAATCTATAATAAAATTATAAAATTGCTATTTCTTTTATTCTATTTTTCAATATCCTAGGTGATTACCCATCTGGGGTGAAATTTTCGGGCCAACACAGTAGTGTTCGAGGAAGAGGGATTACCCGCTTATTAGAGAGCATCTCCAATTCCTCCAGCAATATCCACAAATTCTCCACCTGTGAGACTTCACTCTCATCTTACATGTCTCAAAAAGATGGGGACAAATCTTTCTCTTCCTTAACTTAATGATGGTACTTTTTTCAATTTCTGGAAAAATAATAGGCCCAACTTCCCTTTTGACTACGGTCATATTAAACAAACAGATCACATCAATGGTAAATGTCACTCCTCTAAAAACTGCTTAATTTGTAAGGAAACTTTGTTTCATAGATTAAAAATAATTGTGGTTGGAGAAGATCATGACATTTGTGCTCTTTTTTTTAAATTTTCTTTTTTCCTTGAAGGCTTACTGCATGGCCTGGTGATAAAGATGGGTATGCCATTAAAGTTTTAAGGTTTTGAGTACTGAGAAAATAAAACTGGTGGTTGATGGTGTGGTTCAAGAGGTAGAAATCCTGCCTAGCAGGTGCAAGGCCCTGAGTTCAAACTTCAGTACTGCCAAAACAAAAAACAAAAAAACAAAACCAGGGACTGGGGATTTAGCTTACTGGTGGAGCACTTACCTAATATGCACAAGGCCCTGACTTTGTTCCCTAGCACCGCCAAAAACAACAACAAAAAAAAGCTGGCATTTTCAAAGTTGGGAATGTTATAAATTAATAATGCTTTTACCTTACAATACAAGGTATTGTGTATCTGTTGTGAAAGATTCTGAAATAGTATTAATCTAGTTCTTCCCAGCATGAAATGGAAACCTTATACTAGAACATCCAGGCTATTTATATTACAATGTAACTAAGAAAATCAGCCTTTAATAGAAATACAGTTTTGTTACTTAAAAAAAAATCTTTGAAATAAACTTACTCTGGAAAAAGGAGCCAGTTAAAGAATGAGAAGCCAAATCGAGAACATTTATGTAATTTATCCCAAGTCACAAGGCTAGATAGTAACAGAATACCAGGTCCTTAGGACTTTTACATACACCAAGAAAATGTCATACTGAGTCAGGCACCTACCCTTTATGTGACTGACCTAAACTATCTCATATTCTTAACCTAGGGTGGGATATTATATAACTTAGGAGGATGAAAGCATTTTTATTTGGAACCACAATCTAAGACCACATATGGGGCTGCAGGTGTGGCTCAGGCAATAGAGCACCTGCCTCACAAGCATGAAGTCCTGAGGTCAAACCCCAGTATCACATATGGTAGTAGCAGAGACAGCATTATAATTTACGGAGTCTGACCTAAACCGCTTGTCCCCTCTGATTGCACAGAATCACTTGATGTCTGTCATGGGACTCTGAAGGGAAAGGTTTTTCTTAATAACACATTTTGTTTTGCTAATTATTGAGTACCGACTTACACACGCATCACACACACACACACATATATAGTAAAATCCTCATCACCACTCATCTGTTTTATAGCTGCTAAGGGAAGGAGCTGCTAATCTCAACCAAATCTTTCTGACTCCAAAGACCATATTCCTAACACATTACACTGTCCTCCATCTCCCTTTTATCTGTTTCTAATCTAAATCTGCAAATAAGTAACAATTCAAAGAGTAAACATTTTTATATTACATTTTCTAATAGAAGATTTTTCCTTCAAAAACTCCATATCCAAGCTTTGAATCAATTTTGTCTTTGTTTAAAATCAGCATAACAATTGGATTAACAAGGAAGATGTGGGAAGGTCTAAGTGTATAAATCAGACCCCTGGCTTCAGTTACCTAAATCCTGTTCTGTGTTAACTGAATTCAATCCTATGTTAATTGTTCAAGTTATATGTGTGTGTGTGTGTGTGTGTGTGTGTGTGTGTGTGTATTTTTTTTTTGTCACCACTGGGGTTTGAAGTTGGAACCTCACACTTACTAGGCAGGTACTCTTACCACTTGAGCCACTCTGCCAGCCCCAAGTTATAGTTTTAAAAACTTTAACAATAGTATTGGTTGTATTTCTGAGGTATATTTAAAAAAAAAAGTAAAAACATTCAGTAGGCCTCAGGGATTTATTTTAGAAGAATACCTGGTCTTGTACTTCAGAGATCTCCAAACCATATTGTTAATATAATTTAAGCACTGTTTTCTTCACTCTTTTTTTAAAAAATTTGGCATTGAATCCAAAAGTATCAATTATCCTCTTTTAAGCAGTTGGGTTATTCATAGGTATCCTAGTTGACAGTAATTTCTGTTCGCTCTAACTCCATCTTACAATAGCTATAGTCAGAAGCAGTGAGTGTTGTAAGATAGAACAACATTTATTGCTTTTAATTATCAGTATTTGGGTTCATGACTTATCTTCTCAACTTTGAGGTACCCATATTTCTATATGAGAAGGTGTTCAGTGAATGCTGAAATGAATAGTTATCATCGCCAATTATTAAAAATGATCTTAAACTTAAGGAGAGACATAAGAGATCAATGGAATAGAATTGAGAATCCAATATTTTTTACAAATATGCCCAAACCATTGAGTAGGTGGAACAATATTCTTTTCAACAAATGGTGCTGGGAAAACTGGATATCCACATTAAAAGGAATGAGCAGCTATGGTTTGAATGGTGATGTCCCCTTCCATATTCATGTTGAAACTTAATCCCAAATGCAGTGGTTATATTAAAAGGTATGGCTTTGGGAGGGTGGTAAAATCATAAGGGCTTTGCTCTCATGAATGAAATTAGCACCCTTCAAAAAAAAAAAAGGTGGAAGAAAGTACTCTTGCCCTTCTGTCCCTTTTGCCTTTTGGTGAACACAGCCCTTTGGTGGTTGTGGCAAAAATGTACAATCTTGGCACGGAACAAGATACCAGTCTTGTTGACATCTTGATCTTTGACTTCCAGCTTCCAGAACCATGAGAAATAAATTTCTGTTCTTTATAAATTACCTAATCTAAAATATGTTTTGTAACAGCACAATTTGATAAGACAGTTAGGGTCCATTTGCTACAAAATGAACCAAAGACCTAAGTGGAAGACTTAAAACTATACAACTCTTAGGGGAAAAAAAGTCCTTGGATGAGGCAACAGTCTCTCAATAAGACACCAAAAGCATAAACAAAAGAAAACATGGTAAATTGCAATTCATCAAAAAAGTGTCTTTGTGCATTAAAAAACTTATCAGAGTGAAAATATAACCCATAGAATGGGAAAAAATGCTTGCAAATCATTTTTGTCTGATAAGAGTCTTAAATTCACAATGTGTACAAAATTCTCTAAACTCAACAATACATTTCTCCAAACAAATATAAATGGCCAATAAACATCAGTCACTAGCTGTGGCAACCAATTTGGTAGTTCCTTAAAAAGTTAAACACAGTTACCATGTGATTCATCAAGTCAATTCCTAAGTTTATATCAAGAGAACAAAACCTATTCCCACAGAAACTTACGCATGAGTGGCTCATAGCATTATTTATAATAGCACCAAAATAGAAATGAACTAAATGTCCATCAGCTGATAGGTGAGTAAATAAAATGTGATTTACTTGTACAGTGTTATATTCAGCTATAAAAATGAATGCAGTGATGATACATTCATACAGATGAACCTTTACAGCAGCATACTATATGAAAGAATGCAGGCCATATATTGTACGATTCCATCTACATGTGGAATTTTCAGAAAAGATAAATTCATAAAGAGTAGAGTAATGATTGCTTAGGGGTAAGGGGCAGTGAGAAGAGACTGGATACAGGGTTTCTTTTGCGTATGATGGAAATATTCTGGAATCAGTGGTAATGATTTTAAAACCTTATGATTATACTGAAAATCACTAACATATACTTAATGGTGCAAGCTACTAAAAGGTGAATGATTTTTCAAAAAAAGGTACTATTAAGTATGTATAGAGTAGAGTAAGAGGACAAAGGGAATGAGGGATTTTTTGTGGAGAGAGCAGAATATAAGGGCAGTCTAGAATGGTACAAGAAGAGATGGCACAGGTACAAAGAAAATTTCAAAATAGACAAAATGGGGAACGTAATTTGCTAAAGCACAAGTATTTGAAAGGATGTGCATTTAAGGCATTTTTTAGAGTTTTTGTGATTGAAACCTGGGAGAGGTGAAAAAGAAGGTAGTTTACCATGCTAATTTGTTTGCTTTTATGCTGGTAAAAAGAAACCAGGACCCAGGTTTCATGACAGAGCATTAAGTACCTGCCTGCCTCACCTCCCCCAAAACTGCTGAAAATAAATACAATTGATACTACAAACCACACTAAAAAACTATTGACATGCTAGTAGAAATGGCCTACTGAGAGCCAAGTGGCATAAATAAGAGAAAAAACTATACTGAAGAGCTTTAAAAGATTCTGAAATTATTATGCACAGGAAAAAATTACCTACAAAATATAATCATATTGACTTCAGATTTTTATCAGCAATATTAGTTGCAAGGAGAATGCAGAGTGTTTTAGGAATTTAGAATTCCACAGGCAAATCTTGGAGATACTTAACGCATTTGGTTCCACACCACCTCAATACAGTAAATATCGCAATAAAGCAAATCACGTGAACTTTGGTTTCCCAGTCCATACAGTAGTCTGTTAAATATGCAAAAGTAACAAAGTGCATGCACACTAATTTAAAAATACTTTATTGCTTAGAAAACAATCCCATCTGAGCCTTCAGGGGGTCTTTTTCTTTTCTGATGGAGTGTCTTACCTTGGTGTCAACACTATTGACTGATCAGGATGGTAGTTGCTGAAGATTGGGTGGCCATGGAAATATCTTAAAAATGAGACAGAAATGAGGTTTGCCACATTACGTGACTCTTCCTTTCATGAAAGGTTTCTCTGTAGCATCCAGTGCTGTTTGATCCACAGTAGAACTGTTTTCAAAATTGAATCAGTTCTCTGAAACCTTGCAACTGCTTTATCAACTAAGTCGATACAATATTCTTTATCCTTTGTTTTAGTTTCAGTAGTGTTCACTGAATCTTCAAGAGTAGCTCCATTGCAAGAGGCTACTGTCCTTAAATTTTTATCATGAAATTGTAGCAATTCAGTCATGTCTTTAGGCTCCATTTCAGATTCTAGTTCTTTTATCGTTTCTGCCACATTGCATTTCCTTCATCAACTGAAGTCTCAAAGTCATCATGAGCGGAATTAACTTCTTCCACATTCCCAGTAATGTTAATTATTTTGGCCTCCCACAAATCACAAATGTTCTTAGTGACATCTAGAATTACGAATCCTTTACAAAAGTTTTTCAGTTTACTTTTCCCAAATCCATCAGAGGAGTTCCTTTCTGTAGTAGATACGGCCTTACAATATGTATTTAAAAACTTATGTC